CCCCCGTCCGCTTCTACATACGACACTACCCAACACCACTTCCCCAAAGTATTGACAATATGTACAGTGCCCTGTGTTGTAACTGCTCAAGATATTATTGATTTATACAGTCTCATTTTGTTACCCAAAAAATGTAAACCTTGTGTTGGATAGATCTGTATACGTGCATGCGTTTTTTGCATGCATCTTATTATTATCCGCCTTGAGTAAAAGGAGATGCATATATCTCTATAGTTCTGATTTACGACAGACTGGTTCATGTCACATGGCAGTGACAGGAAATGATTTATCACCTAATCTTTAGAACGCATATTTTGGTTAAAGCACAACATTGCATCCTTAAAGAGTCATGTCTACCCCAGTATCTTTCGGCCTTTTATAACAATACTTTATAGATACCCCTGTGTCATCTCCCCTCTCATAGTTAATCTGTGTGAGGATTCGATAATATGTTAACACAGTAAGGCTGATAAAATTAGGAGAAATAAAAAAACCCAACGTTTCCAATAATTCTGTCAGTATCGATGAGAATAACTTTCATTTCCAACCATAGACCTGTATTATGATATTTAAAACAATACACTTTGACGCAACTCCATTTCACCCTGAAGTTCACCATTTCATGTTAAATAAGCAAATGAAGGCCAAGAAGGGAAAGCTTGATCACACACTCAACTATAGCGAGACCAGTGCTTTGCCCCTCATTCGGGCGCCCGTGGTTTGCATCAGTAGAGCGAATTATTATTTTTTTTTTTTAAACAGAGCAAAGAGATGCGACCATGATAGTGCCCGGTTTAGGAAATCATAATTCAGGTCTATGCCTTACGAGACTCGTTCGAACTTCTGATCAGTTCACTTTGTGGGTAAAAGTCTTTTTGAACTTTTAGTTTAGGACTTATTTGACCTTTACACACCACGGCTGTCTCCGTCTCCTTTCTTGCACCACAGTTGGGTTTCCGTGACGTATTGCACGAACGATGCTTCAATCTCACTTTGCCTAAGGCTGGGTGGGACGGGAGGAGGGGGTTGAGGAGAGTGGTGTGGGTGGGAGAAAGGGCGATTTCTGTCAAATTTTAACTCTGTTTGTCACTACATTAATTGGCATAAGAATATCACCAAATGTGTAAATTACGTTTTTTCCATGTTTTGTAAATGTTTTTCTACCCCTTTGCCTCTCCCAGGTGTTCTCGCATCGTGCACGTAGAGTACAGGTGTCCGGAGTGCGACAAAGTCTTCAACTGCCCCGCCAACCTGGCAAGTCACCGGAGATGGCACAAACCCAGAGCCGCTGCAGGGGGCAAGAACGGAAGTAACGGAAAAGTCTCAGCCACCTCCACCAAGATCGCCCCAAAGCCTGACTGTAACGGTAACAGCGTCACCGTAGCCTCAGTGACGGTTGCTGAGAAGAAAGAAAAAGGTAACGGCAACAGCGCTGACTCGTCACATGGCAAGAGCGATGACCAACTCAAACAGGGCGTGGTTACACTCAACTCTGACTCAGCAGGGGGCTCTTCCTCTTCTTCATCATCGCCCTTCTTAACTGCTACCTGCTCTCCACCTCCGCTAGAAGTACTGAATCAGACCAGTGGGAAGGAACATGGCAGTCGCAACAGTTCTGTCATCGCCACCAATCCTCTCCGACCCCCCAGCGCCACCGGAAGTTCGCTCACCGCGGAAGAGAGGTCGCTGGTGTTTCAAGTTCTCAACAGCCACAAGCGACCTTATGAGACAGTCACGACAACATCCACCACTACCATCATGACCCCTCTCTCTTCCACCGGCCGGCCTCTGCTTCCCAACTCCAATTTAGAAGCTGGTAGGCCGAGAGCCAGAACCTTTTCAGCAGATCAAGCTTCTTCCAGCGTTAACTCGAACGTTCCAGAGAGTCGCGAGGTGTTCTTGTCAAACGAAGACAGCAGATTTGACCCCCTGAGAGGCACAACGTCTCCACCGCCCCTGGACCTGACGCGGGGTACCAGCAACCGCTCGGAACTGCACGTGCATGCCCAGCAAACGTACAGAGAGCAGTACTCACGGTCGCCGCAAGACATCACCGGCCAACTCCCCCACAGAGAGCTCTCACATCACCACGACGCCAACAGCGGGGCCGCCTTGGACTGCAATGTGTGCGGGAAACGTTTCCAGAGACAAGCCTACCTTCGGAAACACATGCAGAGCCAACACTCGCAGCATACCAACATAGCGACAGTCAGACAATCAAACAAACCCTTCAAGTTAGATCAGATTGAGCAGCCCCTAAGAGACGCCACAGATCACCAGGAAAATGGCGGAGGAGGAGGAGGTGGTGGAGGAGGAGGAGGTGGAGGGGGAGAAAGAGGGGGGAGCAGCGAGCACCTCAAAGCTGTCCCACCAATAGTCTCACACAAGTGTGGGACGTGCTTCAAGTCCTTCCCAACCGACACCTCCCGCCTCAAACACGAGGCTACGGCCCACCATAACAACAGCACTAGCGCTCACCTGGTCTGTTCAGTGTGCAGCCACCCGTTCTCTAGCAAGGCAGCTCTGGAGAAACACTGCCGCACTGCGCATGCGCCAGAGTCATTCGCCTGTAAATACTGTAGCAGCAGTTTCCACAGTTCCCCGGCGCTGACCAGACACATCAACAAGTGCCACCCGACAGAGAACCGACAGGTCATTCTGCTACAGCTGCCCGGCACCCGCACCTGCTGAATTGTTCATACTTAGACCCGTGTCACGTTCGTTTTGTGTTCATGATATTGTTCAGTTTTATTTGTTGACTTTTGCTAGTACATGTAAAATAACACATTACGTTTTGTTATTTTGTTGACTGTGCAATAACAAATTCTAGCATTTATAAATAAATATTCTAAAAAGAAGAACATCTTCTATTCTAATATAATTACAAATTGAATATTCTCCTTTTCTACTTACAACTAGAATAGATCAATCAATATAGTTTATGCTTTGACTAATCGTTGATCATGTACCCCCCCCCCCCAACCCACTCCTTTCTTTTTCAACAATTCAGACTTTACACAATAATGAAAAAGCAAATACAGAAAAATACAATTAAAGAAACAAAGCTCAATAAAGAGAAACAATGGAAGAAACAAAGATCTACTGTGTAATATTCTGAGTCTGCCTTTAGAGCTCAGAGACATTTGTGCAATTTCATGAAACTTTACTTACGATACTATGAAACAAATGGCGATTTCTCTGGTGTGAGGATAACAGAATACGTGGCTTATTTTGTGTGTGACAGGCTTCAGAAGAGAAGAATAAAAGAGACAACAACAGTTATTGTGTGTGTGGGGGGTGTGTGGGTGTGTGTGTGTGTGTGTGTGTGAGTGTGTCAGAGAGAAAGAAGGGGGAGAAGGGAGAGAGAGAGAGAGAGAGAGAGAGAGAGAGAGAGAGAGAGAGAGAGAGAGAAAGAGAGAACGAGTAGAAATGATCATGAAAGAGAGACTAATAGAGAATGAGTGACTTGCAATAAATCTGTACAGTGTGTGTGACCTTTCTGTTGTTTCTTTCCCCCCAGAAATGGCCTTACAGTTGAAGCATTCTCATTGTTATAGCGTCTTCTTCCACATTCCACTTGTATTTTTGGTCTTGTCTGCTATATATAGTGATTCTCCCCAAGGTCATCCCACAATCGGCGAAAACATTTTTTAATATTTTGTTGTTGTTCTTTTTTTTTTTGGGGTG